TGTTGTTACCTCCTCAAAAACAAACCTGCAGTTGTGTTTTGTTTCATTCACACATGTTTAGTTTATTTAATCCTTTATTATTATTAGTCTGTTTACATCTCCAAAGCTCAAAATGTTCTGTTCCACCTTCTGATGTCATGGAGCAACAGTGTTGGGGAGTAACAGATTACATGTACCGGAGTGACGTAATCAGAGTACAAATGATGAGTAACTGTATTCAGTTACAGTTACTGTTTCAGTGAGTGGTAACTTGGATTACAGTTACTTTGTTGAAATAAATGGATTACAGGGCAGTATTTTCCTGTTTTCACATTTTGGGCTAAACCAGGACTAAACCAGGAATAAACCAGGACTAAACCAGGTCTAAACCAGGTCTAAACCAGGACTAAACCAGGACTAAACCAGGTCTAAACCAGGTCTTAAACCAGGACTAAACCAGGTCTAAACCAGGACTAAACCAGGTCTAAACCAGGTCTAAACCAGGTCTAAACCAGGACTAAACCAGGACTAAACCAGGTCTAAACCAGGACTTAAACCAGGACTAAACCAGGACTAAACCAGGTCTAAACCAGGACTAAACCAGGACTAAACCAGGACTAAACCAGGTCTAAACCAGGACTAAACCAGGTCTAAACCAGGACTAAACCAGGACTAAACTAAACCAGGTAAACCAGGTCTAAACCAGGACTAAACCAGGACTAAACCAGGGGACTAAACCAGGTCTAAACTAGGTCTAAACCAGGACTAAAACCAGGTCTAAACCAGGACTAAACCAGGTCTAAACCAGGTAAACCAGGTCTAAACCAGGACTAAAACCAGGTCTAAACCAGGAAAACCAGGTAAACCAGGACTAAACCAGGTCTAAACCAGGACTTAAACCAGGAATAAACCAGGACTAAACCAGGTCTAAACCAGGACTAAACCAGGTCTAAACCAGGTCTAAACCAGGACTAAACCAGGACTAAACCAGGTCTAAACCAGGTCTAAACCAGGACTAAACCAGGTCTAAACCAGGAAAACCAGGTAAACCAGGTCTAAACCAGGACTAAACCAGGACTAAACCAGGTAAACCAGGACTAAACCAGGATAAACCAGGACTTAAACCAGGACCAGGACTAAACCAGGTCTCCTCTTCTTCTATCAATAATATTTTTAATTTGGTTCAGTAAAGTCTGGGCTTTTTATTTTCTTTTATCAGACAAAACATCTTATGTGAAGATTTCCTCGTCTTTGCTTCTCTACAGCAAATCAAGTAATCCAAAGTATTCAGATTACATTACTCACTTTAAGTAATTTAATGGATTACGTTACAAACTACATTTTGGTGTATGTAATCTGTAATCTGTAGGGGATTACATTTTAAAAGTCACCTTCCCAACACTGTGAAGCAATAATTTTCAGTTTAACAGGCTCCTTTTCCATGCAAGTGTCCAAATGAGTTTAGAAACACAATGAGGCACTTTTCTGTTTCAAATCAAGACCTCAGCCAAAGCCAAAATATTGACGTCTGTATTGGAACTAAAAATCTCTAGACACAAGCATAACGGGTCTTTTTTTAAACGTCAGAATGAAAAAAAGTATTTGGGAAAATCTTAATATTTCTGTAAGAGGAAGTAAAGTGTGTATATTGTGGCTCCGCCGGCCCAGCACTTACCAGACCATTTGTCAACAGTGCGGTTCTTATTATTGACAGAGAATTCCAATGTGAAAATGTGCTTCCGGCGCGGCTCTGGCTGAGAGGAAAACCACAGGCCAGGTTTAGGCTAGAACTGCAGGACTCTCTGTGTTTACTTCGAGTGCACCTATGCCATGGTTAAAGGTCCCTTATTACGCAAAATGGACTCTTGTGAGCTTTAAACCGAGTTATAATGTCATTACCTCTTCAAAAACAGACCTGGAGTTGTGTTTTGTTTCATTCACACGTTTGAGTAACTCTTTATTATTACTCTGTTTTCATCTCCAAACCTCAAACATTATAACACAGATCAGAAAATAGCAAAATATGCGCCGTCCACCCACTTCTCCAGACGTGAAATATAAAAAAAAATAACAAATATTAAAATAGCTCCAACTTAAATGTTAAACCGGAGCTGAAAACAACCTGCACAGGCTCATGGAACCTGCAGGACTGTGACCTGAGACATGAGGGACCAAGACTGAACCAGGACTAAACCAGGTCTAAAAAAAGATCTAAACCAGGACTGAACCAGGACTGAGTGTGGGGATGGACCCGGGTGACTGCAGCTAAGTGAAAACCCGAGCCTGTTCTCTCTCTCAAGTCCAAGATTAGACCTGGTTTAGACCTGGTGTAGTCGTGGTTTAGTCCTGGTTTAACTTAGGTTTAGACCTGGTGTACTCCTGGTTTAGACCTGGTGTAGTCCTGGTTTAGGCCTGGTTTAGTCCTGTTTCAGTCCTGGTTCAGTCCTGGTTTAGTCCTGGTGTAGTCCTGATTTAGTCCTGGTTTAGACCTGGTTTAGTCCTGGTTTAGACCTGGTTTAGACCTGGTTTAGTCCTTGTTTAGTCCTGGTGTAGTCCTGATTTAGTTTTGGTTTAGTCCTGGTTCAGTCCTAGTTTGGTCCTGGTTTAGTCCTGTTGTAGTCTTGGTATAGTCCTGATTTAGTCCTGGTTTAGACCTGGTTTAGTCCTGGTTTAGACCTAGTTTAGTCCTGGTTTAGACCTGGTTTAGTCCTGGTTTAGACCTGGTTTAGACCTGGTTTAGTCCTTGTTTAGTCCTGGTGTAGTCCTGATTTAGTTCTGGTTTAGTCCTGGTTTAGACTTGGTTTAGACCTGGTTTAGTCCTGATTTAGTTCTGGTTTAGTCCTGGTTTAGACTTGGTTTAGTTTTGGTTTAGACCTGGTTTAGTCCTGATTTAGTTCTGGTTTAGTCCTGGTTTAGACCTGGTTTAGTCCTGGTTTAGACCTGGTTTAGACCTGGTTTAGTCCTTGTTTAGTCCTGGTGTAGTCCTGATTTAGTTCTGGTTTAGTCCTGGTTTAGACTTGGTTTAGACCTGGTTTAGTCCTGATTTAGTTCTGGTTCAGTCCTGGTTCAGTCCTAGTTCAGTCCTGGTTTAGTCCTGTTGTAGTCTTGGTGTAGTCCTGGTTCAGTCCTGGTTCAGTCCTGGTTCAGTCCTGGTTCAGTCCTGGTTCAGTCCTGGTTCAGTCCTGGTCAGTTCTGTTCTATCAGTTACTTTTGTCCCAAGCAGAGGTGAGGTGGTTTTGTGTAAACACACTTAACTCTGTGCTGTGGTTTACTGCATGTGTACTTAGCTTGTACAGTTTACTCACTCCATTCAAGTAGCAAACGCGTTGGCTTTTCCACCTCTTTGGTTCGTGTGAGTCGTAGTTTGTGTCTGTTGACAGTTGTAGGCGCTGCTCTGTGACTTTATTTTGAGCTTTAACACAATCCGAGCAGAAAGAGCTGACTTGGAACTACAACAAGTGAGCTGGTTTGTGCTGTTAAACGAGTCCCTCACACACACACTAACAGCTGAACATTCTGCCATAGAGATACATGTAGAACACCCCCAGCGTGACGTCACTGCAAAGTAGGCCTATCATATTATCAGCCGTATTTTTCAGACTACGAGGCGCACTTAAAATCCTTGAATTTTCTCAAAAATCGACAGTGCGCCTTATGTATTAGTTCTAGTTGTGTTTACTGACCTCGAACCGATTTTATGTGGTACGTGGCGCTTAAAAATCTGTCAAAATGTTTTAGTACGACTTCGGTAAACTATGAAGTCGCACCACTTGTTGGAACATTATGGCGACTGCAGTCAGGAGCCTCGCGGAGTCCAACAGAAGCTGAACCGCATCAGCACAAGGAGCGAGATGTTTTTTTTTTTTCAGCGCTTATAGTTTATGCAAATGAGCCATGTGGTTTTAAGTTTTGTTTCTGTAAAAACGTCAAACAAATGTGCGCAAAGCTGCATTAAACACGTTATTACTCAATGTATATTTGAGTCCTCCTCATAGAAAATAAAAAAAAAACTAACTTAAACGATCCACCCACATTCACATTCACATTCATAATCCACATTCACCAAGACAGGGAGGCAACGGCGGGCGAATTACACCACGATCTGCCAATGGATCGTGGACGCCTGGACTAAAGGATCAGTCTCAAGTGTCGTCCGTTTGTTTCTCTCAATGCTCCTTATAATCCAGTGCACTTTATGTATGAAAATAGACGAGAGAATTCGACATTATTGATATTGCGCCTTATAATCCGAAAAATCTGTGTATTGTGATGTCCTCTGAAACCTCTGGACAACATGGCCTTAGTATTATCTGTGGAATAAATGTGAATAATTCATGTGTATAGACAATAACAGGAAGTAACTGACGATTAGGGGAAAATAAATAATTGAGATTGTTCTGACAAGCATTAGGGGGTAAAAGGTGGAGTTTTAGTAGCAAAATTAAGGGGAAAAAATCCAGACGAGGACAAATGCACTAAAATTCCCTTAGGTTTGGAAAAGTTAAAGCCACAGTAATTAACTTTTTAGAGAAATTAAAGCAGGTTTTGTTTTGTTTTTTCCCCATGCACTGAAAAACTTGCTGTGAGTGGGCTCGCATCTCCACAAACCTGACCCTTACTTTCCCTGGAGTAGGGCCTATTTCTTGTATCCATGGAAATGTTACTTCTTTGGCAATAATATATTCTGCAGTTTGGCTTAATACCAATTTATATCACGGAGAATGTTCCAAACAGAAAATGCACACCAAGGTTTTTGTAGAAATGAAAAAATCCATCGCACACTCAGATGTCCAAAACCATTTTTTAAATTTTTAAATAATGTTTCGGCAAAAGAAAAGCCTTCGTCAGATAATTTTTCTTTCTTTAGACCACAGTATGGTTTGGACCAAAGTAGGGTTTTAACTTTCTATTTCCATGAACTCTTACCCTTAAAATAATTGCAGTCTTTGCTATTTTGCTGACTGTGATCGATCATTCTTTGTACAAATAAATAAACGTCGCTCTTTTTCTTTGTTTTTCAGCTTTTCGGCGAATTTCTCTACAGCGGTCTTACCCGACGCCAACAATGATTCCGACTGTCCCGACACCATTTCCTGGGACATCTTCTCCTCCACCCTGCACATCTACATCTTCATCATCTCCGCTTTGGGAATCCTCCTCAACGTCTTCGTCCTTTTGGTCTTCTGCCTCCACAAGAAACCCTGCACCGTCGCCGAGATCTACCTGAGCAACCTGGCCGCCGCCGACCTCGTCCTGGTCTCCTGTCTGCCGTTCTGGGGCGTCAACATCTACAACAACTTCGACTGGCCTTTCGGATTGTTCCTCTGCAAAGTGGTCAACCTCGGGATCAAGATGAACACCTACTGCAGCATCTACTTCTTGGTTCTTGTCAGCATCGACCGCTACATCGCTTTGGTGCACGCGATGTCGCACGGGAGAATGCGCCGACCGAAGTACGCGAAAATCGGTTGCTTGCTGGTTTGGATTTTTGGGCTAGTCTTGGAAAGCCCGATGCTGATATTCCGTAAAGTTGAATACATCGCTGACTACGACGTGACCGCGTGTTTTATAGATTATCCACACGAGAAATTTGCGTTGTTTTGCGACGTCATGCTCACGATTCTTGGCTTCCTTATCCCGATTTCTATCATAGCGTATTGTACCCTGAAGATAATCCAAGCTTTGAGCAACAAGAGTATGGACAGGTTCCACACGGAGCGTACGGAGAAGAAAGCCACCACTCTGATCCTGGCGGTTCTCGGGGCGTTCCTGATCTGCTGGGTGCCCTTCCACTTGATCTCGATCCTCGACGTCCTCTGCAGAGCGAAGGTCATACTAGATTGCTTCACCAGTAACGTCGTGGAGTTCTGCAACCAGATCTTCACCTACTTGGCCTTCTTCAACAGCGTCCTCAACCCCGTCCTGTACGTGCTGGTGGGGAAGAACTTTAGGAAGAAGATGTCGGAGGTGTTCAACCAGTGGGCGATAGTGAGGTCGGTGACGTCGGACTCCACGAGGTCGCACCTGTCGTCCACGCTCAAGACTTCAGTGTGACGAGTAACGAAGGGATAACGTAGAAGACTGAAGCTGCACACTGTCCAACCACGAAGATGCTGGTTATAACGATTGGTTTATGAATGGTTTAAAGAGGGGGTATTATCCTAAGTCGACGTTTTTGGAGCTTTCCTTGCATGTTTGAGTAATCTAGCGATCTCTCCTGGGCCCAATTCGAACCCTACTTAACATTAGCAGTGCAATGATACCAAACATTGCGCTACAACTTCACAAACCTGAAGCAATGTGCAGTAGTTTCATTAGTGGGACGCATTAAGGGCAGTGACAAGAATGAAACAAAAACTGTATTAAATATTATTACCGTATTTTTCAGATAATAAGGCTCACTTAAAATCCTTTAATTTTCCTCAAAAATCGATGCACTTTATGTATTAATTCTGGTTGTGTTTACTAACCGCGAACTGATTTTATGTGGGACATGGCGCTCAAAAATCTGTCAAAATGTTTTAGTATGACTTTGGTAAAACTACGAAGACACACCGCTTGATGGATTGTCGGAGCATCACGGCTGCCATAGTCAGGAGTTTTGCGGTGTCGTGTCCTTTAGTCTGACAGAAGCTGAATCGCATCAGCGCAAAAAGAAAGAGCTGTTTTTTTCAGCGCTTTATCGTTTTATGCAAATGAGCCATGTGGTTTTAAGTTTTGTTTCTGTAAAATGTAAACAAATGTGCGCAAAGCTGCATTAAACACATTATTACTCGATGTATATTTGAGTCATCCTCATAGGAAATAAAAAAACAAACTTAAACAATCCACCCACTTTCACATTCATAATACACATTCACCAAGACAGGGATTTAACGCTGGGCAAATTACACCACGATCTGCCGATCGTGGATCGTCGCCTGGACTAAAATCTGTCTGAAGTGTCGCCCATTTGTTTCACTTAATGCGCCTTATAATCCAGTGTGCCTTATGTATGAAAATAGACAAGCGAATTAAACAATATTGATATTGCACCTTATAGTCTGAAAAATACGGTACATACTTTTTGGCGAATGCTGCATTTTCAAAGTGATAAAAGAAAACGTGTGTAACCTCATTCATCCAGGAGTGGTTCGATGTAGGGAAGGTTTCATTGGTGATCATCTGGACACTGTTTTTGTGATCAAGACATTTCAGCTCCATCCAGAAGAAATTTTACACGATGGTCCTGGATTGAGACACAAGGATTTGACCGAGTCCAACTCCAAAGGAAAGAGTTTTAGAGTGAAACTACTCTAGTATTTTCTGTCTGACCTACAGTAGATTGGTGCTATTCGGAGTGAACACACAGTAGTTGTAGTAGCAAAATACATTTTAACATGTCCTTAAACATATTTACTGTTATAATTATCTGGCCCTAGTTTCAGTCAGCACTGGCATTCTTCTCCGGTGCCTCCCCTCACTGTCCAGTCCTCCCCTCAGTGTTTATGTCACGATGACCTGTGTACATCCGTCTGTATAAAACTCCTTCTTCTACCTTCTCTGTGGCTACGTTCAGACTGCAGCCTGAAGTGACCCAAATCCGATTTTTTGGCTCCTATGTGACCTGTATCTGATCTTTTAATGACAGTCTGAACGACACAGATCCGATTTTTTTCAAATGTGACCCAGGACACTTCAAAATGTGCTCCTAAAACTGATACATATCCGATCTTTTGACATGCGACTTCAGTGTGAACGGCCAAAGCGCATCCATCCACCTACACGTCATCAACAAGACACAAACGTCACTATTCTGCGCTGAAGTCAGTGAAAATTGTTCATGAACTCCGTGTCATTGAAGCGAAGCACATCTCCACTCACCACTCTTGGCTCCGTCTCCACATCCACACGTTCCTTTCAACGGACGTCGCTGCCGCTGCCCCACAAATCACCACGGCCAAAAACCTCGTCCTTCTCCTTCTCAGTCTCCTTAAAACAAGTAAGTTGTTCATGTTCTGGCTCCGGTACGAGAGGAACTTTAGGTGCTCAATGCTCGCCTCCATGTTTGAACAACTTCCGTAAACACAGAGACGCTCGCTGCGGTTGACGTCCTCGTGTCTCCAGTGCACATGCGGGACACTTTCGGGCTGTTTAATGTTCACACTGGAGTCACATACAAGTCACACTTAATTGGAAATGTGAACGACCTCGCAAAAAACATCGGATTTCACGAATAAATCGGAATTGAGCGTTAAGCCCTGCAGTCTGAACGTAGCCTATTTGCTCTTTCTCTTGCGACAGAATAAACCACACAAAGACAATTGTTTGACTCAAGATCTCTATTTCTTTCTCAACCAAATATTTCCGACTGACAAAACAGTGTCCAGACGAAACCTACCATAAAATAATAAAATACAACATGCTGATCTAAATATAGTATGTTTTAACCCGTAGAAGTGTAATACCCCCTCTTAAAAAAAACACAACAAAACAAATATCTTGCCGCATTTCGACACGCTCATAGAAAAGCTACTGGAAATGTTTTTTAAATAATGTAACTGATCTACTAAAGGTGCTCTGGGTAACATTTCTGGAGGCTACTTCCTTGTCTCAGGGAAATGAGATGGAATTTGTGGAGAAATGTTGTGCTTTTCATAGACTGCATATGTAGCTTTACGTTGATCGTGCATACTGTACAACGTGCCCAAAGTGACATATTCATGCAACTAATCCTAACTAATCCTACTCCTCATATCATATATTTATTTTACTGAGTACTGGATGGATGTGTGTTTTTGTCACGATGCGCTTTAGCCGTTGTGGAGTCACATGTTCTGCCTGTGCTGTGTCCTTATACTGGATTCTGTCGTCTACAGCAGGGGTCTCCAATCTTTTTCATCCTCTGAGCTACTTTTGGTAAAATGAAAATGTCAGAGAGCTACTACTTTTAGTGCTTGACAGAAATTTTGCAAATATAAGAGCCATGGTAAGATGAAGATAAGGTACAGTTAGGCGTCTATAAAACATAACGCATTATCCAGTTATCAGTTTGGCATCAAAATTATACATTTACAAAGGAAATAGACATTTGAGTCATTGAGTGCAATATTTACAGTGTTGGGAAGTTACTTTTAAAATGTATTCCCCTACAGATTACAGATTACATACCCCAAAATGTAGTTTGTAACGTAATCCATTAAATTACTTAAAGTGAGTAATGGAATCTCAATACTTTGGATTACTTGATTTGCTGTAGAGAAGCAAAGACGAGGAAATCTTCAACATAAGATGTTTTGTCTGCATAAAAGAAAATGAAAAGTCCAGACTTTACTAAATCAAATTAAAAATATTATTGATAGAAGAGGAGGAGACACAGTCCACACAGCATGATTTAGTCCTGTTAAATCCTGTTTGAGACATAGTTTAGACCTGGTTTTAGTCCTGGTTTTAGTCCTGGTTTTAGTCCTAGTTTAGTCCTGGTTTAGACCTGATTTAGACCTGGTTTAAACCTGGGTTTAGACCTGGTTTAGTCCTAGTTTAGATCTAGTTTAGATGTGGTTTTAGACCTGGTTTAGACCAGATTTAGACCTGGTTTTACACCTGGTTTAGACTTGGTTTGGACCTCGGTTGGACCTGGGTTTAGACCTGGTTTTAGACCTGGCTTGGACCTGGTTTGGACCTGGTTTGGACCTGGGTTTAGACCTGGTTTAGACCTGGTTTAGTGTCCGGCAATTTCTAATTGTCTGGAATTACAAAAAAAAAAAAAAGGGAATAGCCCAAATTGTGAAAACAGGAAAATCCCGCCGTGTAATCCATTTATTTCAACAAAGTAACTGTAATCTAATTACCACTCACTGAAACAGTAACTGTAACTGAATACAGTTACTCATAATTTGTACTCTGATTACGTAACTCTGGTACATGTAATCTGTTACTCCCCAACACTGAATATATATAATTCTGAAATTTCTTGGCGAGCTACTTGGAAGGGGGTGGAGAGCTGCTGGTAGCTCCCGAGTGACAGGTTGGAGACCCCTGGACTATAGAGACTCTGCAGTCACGTGACCGTTTTTGTTTTGGCCGCCGTATTGATGATTCCCGAACGACGGTAGCGAGCATTCTAGTAACATAACTTGTCTGTGGTCGGGTCATAAATTCCCCGATTTATGTTAGTCAGTGTGCGAAATACAATTAACCCATCACACACTCTAAAAAGAACTAAAAAAACAGGGTCAGCTCGAAGTTCCTGATGTTCCTCCAACTGAGAAAGGTTTCTATCTTCCCCGTTAAAACCGCGGGCCGTCCTCATCTCAAGTTATCTCCACGAACTCATGAAACAGCAACATGTAGAACTTTGTACAAACTCACCGTGCAATCAATCAACTGGACAGGGCCTATTCACTTTAGTCTGTCTGTAGGGACTTTTTCTTTTTTCGCATGTGAGTCTCTATCGCTCAACAATTCGGAGATGGGGACCCCCGAATATTGACGGGTTTTTCGCAGGTCCACATGTCTCGTCTGTCAGCTTCGACCGGGATCCGATACAACTGAACCTGTGTCTTTATCTCTCTGCTGATTACAACGAAATTTGCGAAAGGAACGACTCGAAAATGTGGTGATCTATTGGTGAAGTGGACCGGGACAAGACCGTGACGTCACATGCAGGGTCTCTATATTTTCAACATATCAAACTCAGTGTAAATACGTCCGTGTAAATGGTACTTTTATGTATTTATTTGTCTTGTACATATGTATACATGTTATCTATCTGTTGATATCATTTTGTTTACCTCATAACTGCTGATTAAAGAGACTTACAACTGGTGGTGTTTGTTCTGAATGAATGTGTTAAAGGAAGCTGTTGTTGTTGCAGGTGATGGGGCCGGTGTTTCCTTGTTGTCAGTAAATGGAAAGGCCATGCTCGAGGTCTGCATGGGATGGAATTTTCAGTCCCGCTCCAACCTACGCCCACAAAGAATTGTAATTTTCAATCCCGCTCCCGTAAAATCCCGCAAGATGAGGATGTTTGATTTCTTAAGCTCCATCAAACACGGAAAAGTGGAAAAGAATTATCTAAAATGTGCATGAGATTAGACCACATCCACAAGTTTAGGCTGCTTAAAATGTTTTTATTAATGCCAAATAAAAAAATCCAGCACAAATTATGTATGATAGACAAACATTAATCATTTGTACATTTTAGTTTACAGTCACATTTAGTTTGCGGGACTGCAGTTTATCATCACCGCATTGTGCAGTCCTGCTCCTGCCCGCTCCTGCAATGAGCTTTCAAGCGCAGAGCTGCCGCCTGTGAAAGCTCAGAACCTTCAGAATTCACTCACTGAGCTGCAGAGGCCGCACAGCACAGCTTTTAACCCTGTTCTAGTTTTTCCCCTTCTCATTTCTCCTCTTTAAGTTGTATTTGGAGTGATTTGTACATCTTTCATTCTTCAGTTGTCGTTTAAGATCAACATTTAACGATTTAAAATGTCCAGATTCTAACATAATGTTCTAACTACAGAGGAGACACAAGTGCAGTAGTTCAAATGTTTTGTCTCTGAACAGATGTGTGTGTTTCCTCGTGTTGACTGGAGCCCGGGCGTGTGGTGCAGAGAGGCGTGTCCTGGCACACAGACTGGTGCTGCTTGACTCATTGTCTAAAGCTAAAAACAGGACAAAGATTTTCCAGGAGACACATGAGTGCTCCGTCTGCTCTGACAGCGCACAGCGGCGGGCACGGGCTGGTTTATGAGCGCGGTGTCTCAGAGGGACTGTGGGCGCCACGGCCCAGAACACAGGCTCCACGGGCAGAGCCAAACCAGAAACCACCACGGGCAGCTCGACCGTAACTGCCTATGCCAGGAATCCACTGTGGAAATACATAAACAAATAGAAATATTCCAAAATTATAACTCAAAAATGATTGTGTCTCTTGGCAAAATATTATTGAGAAACTTTTTAGTAGGTTGGGCGGGTGGTTGGAGCAGAATGGTGGCCAACTGTCACGAGTAGAAAAGTACTTTGGGAAACTACTACTCGAGTAAGAGTAAGTGTGACAGAAGCCGTCAGGATGTAATCTTGGATTTGTAATTTGAATTTACTGTAATTGGAAGGACAAAACAATCATGCTCAAACAATAGTATTTTCAAAAGATAGATCACAAGAATTACAAAAAAAATGTATTTGACAGAGCAAAGGAAACACAAATGTTGAAATGCGATCAACATAAAACTTTTGTGGACTTAATCACAATCAGTGTTGGTCGTAATATAATTACTGATTATGGATTACTCCTTCAAAAAGTAACCTAATTATTACTCTAATTTAATCTAACTTCATTTCAAAAGTAATCACTCTGATTTCAAAGTGCTTCTATTTTAAAAGAAGCACAGAACCATTCTGCAGTAAGAACTTGGTTGTAAAGTGCAGTTCTTGCAGAGGTTTGGTTTGCAGTTTTCCTGCTTCCACCACATCAGTGACAACAGACCACAGTTTTCTTCCACTCATCCGACGAAGGCCGAGTCATGTGTATTTACAACGAGAGAAAGCACTTTTCTCCCGAGCTGCATTTGTTTTACTTCTGCTGCTGGATGTTTGGCTGCACGTCTCAGACAAACGGCGTCACTGTAGTAGGGATTTATTTAGAAAAAAATAAAATGATGAATTACTCTGTGAAAAAAACATAGCACAAGTAAGAGTAATGCCTATAGTTACTCCACTGAGTAACTATAATCTGATTACCAGTTTGTAAATATAACAGGTTAGATTACTGCGTTATCTTATTAAGTAATCTGATTACAGTAAAGTGCAATTACAGCAAACTGCAATTTAGTATCCTAGTTACTACTACTGAGAGAGTAGCCAAAACTTTTATAGTAAGAGTACTGCTTTATCTGAAAACTACTCTGAGAAGCAGGAGTAGTTTCTCAAGTAAATGTAACTGAAAAAATGTAAGTACTTCTACTACAGCCCTGAGCATACACAAGAGTAATAAGTACCAGTGAGTATAAGTATCCCAGTTTCCTACCTTTTCATTGGTTTAGTTTTATGACATTTAAACTAGGGGTGTCAAATTATCGCGTTAATTGCGATTAATTAATTACAGTCATATTTAGCGCGTTATGTTAATCTCATTTTTAATCTCTAACTTTACTGTTTCTGTATGCGAGTTGCTTTATTATAAAATCTGTTTTTATGTGTTGTTGGGACAACAACAACACACACAAAAAAAACACATTTATACATTTTTTTAATTTCGGTAATTCCATTCATTGCCGGAAACCCACACAAAACGCGCGCAGTAAGAGCGATGTGAACGTCATGTTAACGTTGGCGGCGTCAGTCACACAATGGACGAGGTGGAAGAGCCAGTAGAACAGAGCAGCAGTGCACAGGTAAAAACACATTCGTGTCTTGGAAATTCTTCTCCCGACGTGAAATATAAAAGAAAATAACAAATATAATATCGCCTACAACTTAAATGTCACTGGTGAAAACAACCTGCATAGGCTCATGATGTCTGCACTACTGTCCTATACACAAACACACACAAACACACACAAACACACACAAACACAAACACACACCTTCATCATCGTCATTAACCTGAGAACACGTGGACCACGTTTCCTTCCGTAGTTACTGCGTGGACACTGACCTGCTCCCGTGAGCCGCGTGTGGATCGTGTTTTCTCACGTTCGCTGCGTAAACCGCGCTTCCTCCTGTGCCTCTAAACCAGAACTAACACCAAGACTAAAACCAGGACTTATCCAGTCCAGGACTAAACCAGGTCTAAACCAGGACTAAACCAGGACTAAACCAGAACTAAAACCAGAACTAAAACCAGAACTAAAACCAGGTCTAAACCAGGACTAAACCAGGACTAAAACCAGAACTAAAACCAGAACTAAAACCAGGTCTAAACCAGGACTAAACCAGGACTAAACCAGAACTAAAACCAGAACTAAAACCAGGATTAACCCATTCCAGGACTAAACTAGGACTAAAGTAGGACTAAAGCAGGTCTAAACCAGGACTAAAACCGGTGATCTCATATATAAAGCATTTCTCTATCAATAATATTTTTAATATGGTTAAGGAAAGACTGGACTTTTTATTGTCTTTAAGTAGACAAAAGTTATAATGTTCAGATTTCCTCGTCTTTGCTACTTTACAGCAAACAGTTTCTTATTCATGGAGACTTGGGCTCAACAGACAATTTGGAGAGATTTTGTTAAACAATAAATGACTTTATAAAGTCACTTTTTTTGTTCTATATCAGTCTTTTGATCTGCCACAATAATGTAATAATGAATTTAAATGAAAATACCTCAAATTGAAGCTTTTCTCAGCAATTTTTAGGTGAGATTAAAATGAGATTAATTAGATGAATTAATTACAGATCATAATTAATTAATCTCTCAATTTTTTTAATCGCATGACAGCACTAAATTAAACATACAAAAATAAACTTCAGCCTCCTCTGGAAACTGTAGAACAAAAACAGTTCTACAATGTTCATTTCTCAGGTTTTGCGAGTTTTATTTTCTTAATAGTTCAGTGTCTTTATCAAATCATTTTAATAACAAAGCTTTCATTCATTATGTTTAGTTAAAGTGACGTACCTGATTTTTTTTTCCATGTATTCGAGCAAAACGTGTCATGCTCCAGTACAGAATTCTGTGGTTCACTGTCTAAGAATCAGGAAGTGTGTGATTAGTGCAGTGAGGTGACGTCAGGCATCGCTGTGTTTAGTCAGTTGAGCAGAAGAGGAGCAGAATAAAAAGAAATCCCCTTTGACTAACCTGACCTTCACCACACAGTACCTCAGGCTATGCACGGATAAGAGTCAAACTGGTCTGGTGTATTGTTCATCATGAAGGAGGGTCAAGCCTGCGACCTGAGGCAGTAAAAGACTGGACCAGATTGATATGGACATTCAGATACAACACTGCAGGTAATATTTTGGGCAAACGTGATCTGAATACACTGATGAACGAACTATGAGCGTGTTCATTCTGGCGTCTGTGAACGGCGTGTGCTTTTATTTAATTTGGTTGAACAGGAGACAGATTTCTTTAGTGTTCCAAGTGAAAACCTGGCGAAACACACAATAAAGAGCTCACAATATTTAGCAGAAAAACATTCAATCTGGCAACAACACGAACCACCAGCGTCGCATCGCCGCGTGCGTCATCGAAACAAGACAAAGCACTTGGCTCTACTGTGCATGTCTCCTGCAGAAAGAGCCTCTGTCCAGTCTGTATCGTGTCAGAGTCTTGGAGGATTTCAGCAGATTTCAGACTCTCTCGGGGGCGGGGATAGTTCAATCGATCAGGTATGAGTGGATGTGCATCTACTGAAGTTTGAGACGTTTCTTCTCATTTACGCACTGACCTGATTTAACACATACGGGTCATTAAGACGTTTCACACACACTAATGTTCATTTAGCATCAGAACTTTATTTTATCACACGGCGATAAACTGTTAGTGCAGATGACATCACTAACTAACACTGCAACTTCATGTTAACTACACATAGTGGCGCTTTCTGCACTCAGGCTGCGAGTATCTAGTCAGACTGACGTCACCTAGGCTGCGTTCAGACTGCAGCCTGAAGTGACCCAAATCCGATTTTTTGGCTTCTATGTGACTTGTATCCGATCTTTTAACGACAGTCTGAACGGCACAGATCCGAATTTTTCAAATGCGACCCAGGACACTTGGATATGTGCTCCTGAATCCGATACATATCCGATCTTTTCACATGCGACTTCAGTCTGAACGGCCAAAGCGCATCCATCCGACCTACACGTCATTAACAAGCGACAAACGTCACTATTCTGCGCTGAAGCAGGCGGAAACCGGAACTGTAAAATCGCCAGGTGCTCAATGCTCGCGACCATATTTGGACAACTTCCGTAAACACAGAGACGCTCACTGCGGTTGACCATGGGGTTGACGTTGTCGTGTCTCCAGTGCGCATGTGGGACACTTTTGGGCCGTTTACCTTTCACACTGAAGTCACAGACAAGTCCCATTTAATTGGAAATGTGAACGACCTCGCAAAAACATCGGATTTCACAAAAAAATCAGAATTGAGCATTAAGCCCTGCAGTCTGAATGTAGCCCAAGTGCCTCTGCTCAGTTTAATTTCTCTCCAGCGACAAGGTCAGGAATCAGAATACACTAGATGGTTTGCAAGAACCCCGGAAGTGCGAGTCCGGGCACCAGCCAATCAGCGAAGAGTCATATATTCTGTATTGGCAACGATTCCCGAGATCGAGGATTTAAAGCCGGAACAAAGAGAATGTTTGGTGAATTTTATCAATGGGAAAGATGTTATTGTCCTTCTTCCTACGAGATTTGGGAAAATCTTAATATACCAGTTTGTCCCATTAGCGGTGCATTACATATGTCACGACCAAATAGCAGCGATTGGTTCCCGCCTACTGTTGAGCAAACGAATCCTAAAGCTGTGAGGTCAGACATTTTCCACGTGAAGTGAAACTATCTGATGAATCAGGCTGCGTGAGTATTCACTGTGGTGATGAACAAATAAACTCTGTACTGTTGGGGTGAAAGTTGAGCTGTTCTTCGTGACTAAATGGACAAAAACACAGGGGAAATGCTGTTTCCTAAATGCTCATGTGAACCCTGGTTGGATAAGGATTCAGAATTTGATATGAAGATGAAATCTAATCAGTGTTGGGAGTAACGTGTTATAAAAGTTACAAATTACTCTAATGCTTTGCTTTTTGCTGTAACGCAGTAATGTGGCATTACAGGGAAAAATGTTAATATTTTACTCAGTACAAATGTGAGTAACGAGCGTCACAATGCTTTTTTACCCTGGATTGAAGTGGTGGGTTATTCGTTTTTTTCATACAAGTTCGCAAAAATCACGGCAATATCAGCAGCGGTGAAAAGCCTTCGTTATGGTTCCGAGTGTCGGGACGAGCCGGAGGTGTGCCCATGTAGACCGTCGGGTGACTGCGGGCAAAAGGACCAACGCAGAACTTCCATGCTCCACGGGACGAAGAGCAGCCGATGCCCAATCGCACTTTGCAGACACTCTGCTCCACAGGCTCAGGGTTCTCTCAGGGGCGGTCCTAGATTCAAAATCCAAGATTAGTCCTGCTTTAGTCTTGGTGTAGTCTTGGTTTAGTCCTGGTTTAGACCTGGTTTAGACCTGGTTCAGTTCATAGACGGTGCAAAAGTTCAGAATATTCACACAGTTATTTTGGTGAGAATATCTTAAATTAATGTAATAGTCCTGTTTTAGTTCTGGTTCAGTCCTCGGTTGAGTCCTTCCTTAGTCCTGATTTAGACCTGTTTTAGCCCTGGTTTAATCCTAGTTCAATCCTGGTTTAGTCCTGGTTCAGTTCGTATACGGTGCAAAAGTACGGCATCTTCACACAGTTATTTTGGTGAGAGTAAGTTAAAGTACTGTAATATTCCTGTAATGTTTTACATTTTAAACACAGTAATATTATAATCTAAGAAATTACATTGAAATTACAGTAACAAGTCATTACAGTTTTGAAGTAATTTGCCCAACAGTGAAAATAATTGCTGTCTGTGTTTTATTTGGGCTTTGGCAATGATACTGAAAAATAATCACTCGCAGCAACGTAAAAAGAAAAAAAAAAGAAGGATAAACTAGTTCATTTTTTGGAACTAGAAATTTGTGAGCTGAACTTTGAACTAGTTCGTGCAGAAAATGAACTTTCCCAACACAGATGATCTGAGTAACAAATACAGAGATGGATCAGTCTGGATTTTTCCTGCTACTACGACTACAGTCTGTAATCTTCTGGAATCACCTGCACGACTGGGATGATGGATGACGCCCGCTCAGCCCCACTCACCGTAAAGACACGTGTGCACTTCTTACTCCCCCGCTGTTTCATGTCAGATGAATCAAATATCTTAAAAGCTCCAGCAAGTTTTGTTTATTTTCAGATTTCCATCTTTCTGGTCCGGTGCCGCTGACGCCCTCGGTTCTCGCCGGTCATTTGTCAGGTTGCTAAGAGGCGCCGCTTTCACACAGTTATTGGCGTGTGTGGTCAGACATAAACAGCAGCTGGTTCTTCACAAACACATTAGAGCCGCTCTCTGATGCTCCGATGCACTTATGGATCAGTAACACCACGTCCGTGTGTCCGACCAGCGCCCACGGCTGTTATATAAAAGAGCCACTTGACCTGCTGTAATTCTACTGCTACCACTACTACTACTACTACTACTACTACTACTACTGTTGCTGCTGCTGCTAAAGAAGGTAATGTTTTATCTGTATTGGTCTGTCGTAGTTTAGTATTTTGATTGTTTTCATTCCATTTACATTCTCAAACGTGTTTATTTTTGTTTGATATTATTTATTGTTTGCACTGCGCTGCACGTTGCGTTGGATTGGGTTGAAGATTTTCCCCTGAATTCAACTTCTGAACTGTAAAAAGCGTCATGCAAAAAGTTAGGCTGCACCATGAGATTTATTTTAAAGCGATACTTTGTCAAAAGAAACAAAAAACGCAAACCAAAATTCCTGTAGAGGTGGAAATGCAAGGAGCAGCAAGCACAGTAGCACAGTACAAAAAAAAATCTTACGAAGGCTTGTTGTTGGTTTTTTTTTTGCTGAAATGTTATTTAAAACTAAAAAAGCTTTTAGACATCGGTCGTCTGAGTGCATGTTTTCACTTTTGTCAGCCATATTTTATAACATTTTAGCCAAAAATACGAAAATAAAAGCTTCTTCATCGGTTTGGTTTTGCGTATTGCATTGAAAAACATGCGTTCTTAAAGTGAGCGGGGCTTGCATCTCCACAAACCTGGCTCTTGCTTGGGCTGGAGGAGGTTTTACTCAGGTTTATGTTGTTCCTTTGGCTGTAATGTTCCACAGCGCGGCGTAAAACACGTTTATCTCCAAGGGGAATGTTCTGGAGTGTGGAATCGTGCAGGTGACACTTGCCATCTCCAGAAAGTTGCATGTTGTGCCTTTACATTTTTAAGAATAATACTAAATTCTGAGCAGCTGGGACGAGCTCAGATGCACAAAAACAATTCAAATGAAAAAAAATCTTCAGAATCGTCCACACTCCCCATGTTTAAAAAACCTACCTCTTAAAAAAAAAATAAAACTTCCATTAACTATTCTCTTGTTTGTCGTTGTTTGAGTATCTTGAAAAGCGCTATACAAGTGTTATGTATTATTTTTATTATTATTATTATCAGATATTTATTATTAGAGTAAAAAGAGAGTAAAAAGTTGGTGTTAAAACGTGTAACTTTTCCGGTGGATGGATGTAATTGCTTTGCCTTGATATTCTACATCAGACACGTCAGACTCAGTCCCGGGGGCCCAATTTGGCCTGTGATATAATTATATTTGGCCAGTGAGATCATATCAAATCTGTATTAGAGCTGCTGGCCGGAAACATTATTTATTTAAAATGTTGTTATTATTTTACGTGATGCTGGTTCTGGATTCAGTGTTTAAGAAAAAATATTATTAAACATTTATTTTAATAAGAAAAGATCTCGAAAGAAGAGAAAACATGCAGATGGCGTTGAAAATTTTCAATAAACATTTAGTTTGGCCCACGACTTAGTCCCAGTTTTTAATTTTGGCCCAATGTGAATTTGAGTTTGATACGCCTGATTTACACTATGGAAATAAACTTTGCCGTCACAATGGAAACAAGTTACGAGCAGTGTCGGGGAGTAACAGATTACATGTACCAGAGTTATGTAATCAGAGTACAAATTATGAGTAACTGTATTCAGTTACAGTTACTGTTTCAGTGAGTGGTAATAGATTACAGTTACTTTGTTGAAATTACATGGCGGGATTTTCCTGTTTTCACATTTTCGGCTATATTCCTTTTTTTATTTATTTTATTTTTTTCTGTCGGTAATTCCACTCATTCCCAGAAACTAAACCAGGTCTAAACCAGGTCTAAAAATAGGACTAAAACCAGCACTAAACCAGGTCTAAAACCAGGACTAAATCAGGACTAAAACAGGACTAAAAGCAGGTCTAAATTGGATCTAAACTAGATCTAAACCAGGTCTAAACCAGGCCTAAAACTAGGACTAAACCAGGACTAAACCATGACTAATCCAGGACTAAAACAGGACTAAAAGCAGGTCTAAATTAGATCTAAACTAGATCTAAACCAAGTCTAAAACCAGGACTAAACCAGGACTAAACCAATAGGACTAAACCAGGACTAAAACTAAACCAGGACTAAAACAGGACTAAAACAGGATTTAACAGGACTAAATCCTGCTGCATGGACTGTGTCTCCTCGTCTTCAATCATTACTATTTTTAATTTGGTTCAGTAAAGTCTGGACTTTTTAAATTTTTCTTTTATCAGACAAAACATTCTTATGTGAAGATTTCCTCGTCTTTGCTTCTCTACAGCAAATCAAGTAATCCAAAGTATTCAGATTACATTACTCACTTTAAGTAATTTAATGGATTCCGTTACAAACTACATTTTGGGGTATGTAATCTGTAATCTGTAGGGGATTACATTTTAAAAGTCACCTTCCCAACACTGATTATGAGTCAGATTTATGGAGAGGCAAGCCTGCACACAGTAAGAACTTGAGCTATAAAACATCTGTAATCAAATAAATGCAAGGCTGATGAGTTTAGTGTCAAACTGGCCACTCTTACATGATGACTTTTTTGTTTTGTTTTTTCCAAATTAAGTGTTCTGAATTAAATAATTTGGAATCAAAATATTCTTTTTTTTTTTTCATTGTGCCATTTTGCTGCTCTACAAAACAGACCACAACTACATGGATCATGACAGAAAATGTCCAAGCTGAAGCAAACGTACCAAACCCTTTTAAACAATTACAGAATTCCAAGAAAGGAATTTTCATTTTCAAAGTATTTTTCAACTTTTCTTCATAAATTGCTTTTTGGTTTGTATAAATCTATCGTTTATATTTACAATAGTTCTAATTCCACCAAATTAAAGAATCATACAATCTGTTATATGCACTTTAAAGGTGCATTGTGTAACTTCCCAGTTTGGGGTCTGTCACCTTCTTGTTTCTATGGATACGTCATTGCTCTGCTGAATGTTCCGCATTATGACATTAAACAGCTCTACCTTACATTTATTCAATTGCAGGAGGTTTTTACAGCTCAAAAATGCCTAGTAAAATATTCTAACCTAGTATCAGAAGTAGAAGAAGTATCTAGAAGTGTTCTGCCTTCTGTGAGAAGGGTCGCCGCTCCACAGATCTGACTGGTCTGGTTTGGTCTCGATGAAAATGGAAAGTTTTAAACCATACTGTGAAACATCCTAGACAAAGCAATAACATCTCCATGAAGAAAAGCTTTTGACGGACCCATCCATCCATCAATCCATCCATTTTCTTCTGCTTATCCGGGGCCGGGTTCAACCAGTCGATGCTGTTTGGTCGTGATGTATGTAATGTGCTGCTAACGGGGATAACTGGTATATTAAGCTTTTCCCAAATCCCGTAGGAAGAAGGACAATAATGTCTTTCCCCTTGATAAAATTCACCAAACATTCTCTTTATTCCGGCTTTAAATCCTCGATCTCGAGAATCGTTGACAACACAGAATATGTCACTCTTTGCTGGTGCCCGAACTTGCACTTCTGGGGTTTTTGCGAAGTGCAGGAGTGTCAAACTCATTTTGGTCCGGGGGCCGTATCCAACCTATTTTGATCGTAAAGGGGCCAGATCAGAAAACTCATGGCATATAAACCCCAAAAATAGCAATAAGTTCAAATATTTGTGCAGAGAAACACAAATCTTATTACAAAAATCTTTTTTTAATTGATGAACTCTTTATTTTACAAAATATTATAATATTATGAACAACCTGAAACTTTAAGAAAAATGCAATTTCAACACAAAGTTTTAACATGAACTCGTATGCAAATAAGAATAAGTAAATTTTTCACTCTGCGTCCACTTTTCTCATGTTGGACATTTTTCTGATGAGGGTGTCACGGTCAACAGTCAAAACGATCGTCCTTTAAGAGCGTTTGGAAAGAGACAAGTCTTCATTTGTGCTGCTCTGGTGGGAGGGGCCACGTACAGAGACGCTGGAGGCCAAATTACCAATATTTAAACAGAAAATATAATTAAAATATTTTAGTAGAAAATCAGCCGAGGGCCAGATTAAAGGTCTTGGAGGGCCGGATCTGGCCCCCGGGCCTTATGTTTGACGCCTGTGGACTAGTTTATTCTGATTCCTGATCTAGTCGCTTTAGAGAAATGAAGTTGAGCGGAGGCACTAGGTGGCACCAGCCTGGCTAGGGGGCAGCAGTCTAAGCAGGGACTCCCAACCTTCCTCCAGCTCCTCAGGCGGGACTCTGAGGCGTTCCCAGGCCAGCTGAGAGACATAGTCCCTCCAGTGTGTCCTGGGCCTCCTCCAGGTGGAACATGCCTGGAACACCTCCAGTGGAAGGTGCTCAGGAGGCATCCAGAGCAGATGCCCGAGCCTCCTCAACTGCTCCCCTCCCATGTGACCGAGCTCCTCACCCTATCTCTAAGAGTTTGACATTTGATGGACCCTCCACCAGAAAAGTTACACAGTGCAGTTTTAAATAAGCAAAATCAATAAAATCGTATGACTTTTTTGTTTTCAGGTCTCACCAATGGACAACGAAACTTCCCCCGAACTCGAGTGCAACCAGACCGCGGCGTGGTCCTGGCTCTACTCCATGCAGCCCTTCTACATGTCCACCATCTGCTTCCTGGGCATCCTCGGAAACGCCTTCGTCCTCGCCGTTTTCATCCTGGAGAAGCATCGCCGCTCCGTAGCCGACATATACCTGGGCAACCTCGCTTTGGCCGACCTCCTCATGCTGTCCTGCCTGCCCTTCTGGGTGGTCGCCATCGTCAACAGATTCCACTGGACGTTCGGCCAAGCCATGTGCCAGATCGTCAACGTGGTTATCGGGATGAATTACTACTGTAGCGTCCTGTTCCTTACGTTGGTGAGCGTGGACCGCTACCTCGTCTTGACGCAGCCTCTGTCGCACGGAAGGCACCGTCAGGCGATTTGGGCGAAGATCATTTGCGCCGTCATCTGGATCGCCGGGGTTTTGCTGAGCTTCCCCGCGATTTTGTTCCGTTCCGTGCGATACCTTCCGCATCTTGACGTAGAAGCGTGCTACCTCGAATACCCGCACGACGGATGGAGGTTACGCTTCAATTTCACCGTGATCATCGTCGGGTTTCTCATCCCCGTTCCAGTCGCGTCGTACACGAGCTTCCACATCGTCAAAGTTCTCCGTAACAGCCAAAATATCAGTAACAAGGGCAAAGGCACGGAAAGGAAAGCGGCGTTTCTCGTGCTGATCGTGCTCGCCGTGTTTATCGTCTGCTGGCTTCCGTATCAGGTTGTTATTTTCTTGGACACGTTGGATTATTTTAACGTTGTCGCCGGATGCACGTGGGGGGATGTGCTGGACATTGGCGAACAGTTGGCGACGTACGTTGGCTACAGCAACAGCACCCTGAACCCGTTTTTGTACGTGATCGTGGGGAAGCAGTTTAAGCAAAGAGCGAAAGATGTTTTAAAAGTTTTCTGGTGCAAGAGGTGGGACAGAGGCAGGTCCGGTTATTCCAACGGGAACGTCACGTCCAGACAATGTGAGAGCTCGAAGATTTAAAAATCTGTGTATCGTTCGTTCATTTGTCTTTCAAAATAAAACCAAAAATAAGGAAATGAAAAAACATCAATTTTATTCATTATTTGTCTTCAAAACCAAAATGAAAAAGCAGATAACAATTCATTTTTTCAGTTTTCGATTTTGTGTTTAAATGAAAAAAATGGAAAAAACGGATAACGGCCGTTTCCTATTTCCGTGACTTAAACTGTGATGCCGGACTTTTGCACCTTATATGGACTGAACTAGGTTTAAACCAGGACTAAACCCGGACTGAACCAGGTCTAAACCAGGACTGAACCAGGACTGAACCAGGTCTAAACCAGGACTAAACCCGGACTGAACCAGGTCTAAACCAGGACTAAACCAGGACTGAACCAGGTCTAAACCAGGACTAAACCAGGACAAAACTGGTCTCAGTCCTGATCAGGTTCAAGTCTCAGTTATGATCTCAGTCCCGGTCTGGTCCTGGTCTCAGTCCACATCCTGGTCCTGATCTCAGTCCTGGTCTCAGTCTTGGTCTGATCCCGGTCTCAGTTCTGATCCGGTCTGGTCCTGGTCTGGTCCCGGCCTCAGTTCTGATCTGGTCTCAGTCCCGGTCTCTGTCTAGATCTCAGTCCCGGTCTGGTCCTGGTCTGGTCCCGGTCTCAGTTCTGATCCGGTCTCAGTCCTGGTCTGGTCCTGGCCTCAGTTCCGATCCGGTCTCAGTCCCGGTCTGGTCCTGGTCTGGTCCCGGCCTCAGTTCCGATCCGGTCTCAGTCCCGGTCTGGTCCCAGCCTCAGTTCCGATCCGGTCTCAGTCCCGGTCTCTGTCTAGATCTCAGTCCTGGTCTGGTCCTGGTCTGGTCCCGGTCTCAGTTCCGATCCGGTCTCAGTCCCGGTCTCTGTCTAGGTCTCAGTCCTGGTCTGGTCCTGGTCTGGGTCTCAGTCCTGATCACTTGACAGTCTACACCAACAGTCTAATCATTATCCATATTTTCATTTTGGTTTTGGAGACAAATAATGAAGAAAATAGCTTGTTTTTTGTTTTTTCATTTTCTTATTTTTGGTTTTATTCAAAAAAAAACAAAAAAAACAAACAAAAAAAGAACAAATGATACCAGATTTTTAAAGGCGCACTGTGTAACTTTATGTTTGGGAGTCTGTCACCTGCTTGTTTGTTTGTATCTGTCATTGCTCTGTCTGGAATGTTCCACAGTGTGACATTAAACAGCTCCACCTCATATTTATTCAATCACAAACATTCTGACTGTGAGCGGGTTCGCCTCTCCACAGATCTGACCTGTAACTTGGTCTGGTTTGGTCTCCTTGAAGATGTATTAGTATCAGTGGCGCGTGAGCCGTAGTGGAGCGGCAGATGTCTGGTGTAAATGTTTCAGTATAACGCTTAAGTAGAATATGTTTTTTTTGTTTAAAGGTGCACTGTGTAACTTTTCCGATGGGGGTGTGCTCCACTTGCTCGTCTCAGAGATGTGTTTTTTGTTGGAATGTTACAGTTTTCCATCACACATACTGTATTTATCTGGTGTTTATTTAATTACTGGTGTTTGTGTTGTTTAAAATCTTCTAGCAGTGTTGTGACTGGGCTCTGCTCTCCACAGATCTGACCTGTAATTTAACCTGGTGGCATTACTGCTTCTGTAAAAAAAAAATTTAAAAAAAAAAAAAAAAAAAAATGTCTGTAAAAAATCTGTGTGGTATGTTTGCTTCCAGCCATTGCCAGCAGAGGGCGACAGATATACTTATATTTTCACTAAAAGGATCCAAAATTCATGCAAATTCTTTTAAATCAAACTCACCTTGACAAAATATTTCATAAATTCCGTTAAATCTCCAGTTTAAGCGAATGTTCCGATGTTTGGTCCAAAATCTACATCAAACTCGGTCGTGTGCTTACAGTAAATGTCCCAAATATAATATTAATCAGACTTTGTTATGAAATAAAACCAGATGTCAACTTACATTTTTGTATTTGGGAAATTAATAAAGGAAATGGCCTCTTCCAGCAGTAAATCTACACTGTTATATGAGCCAGATAAAAAATTAAACAGAAAATGAAACAGTATGTTGGATTTTCATAGTTTAAAGAGGCGGTATTAACTGTAACGTGACATATTTAGATCAACGTGTTACTTTTTATTGTTTTAAAAATGCTAGAGTGGCCTAAAACTGTATTAACGTGTCTTAGTTTCAGTTTTTTTGTTTTGTTTTTGTGTACATTTATATGATGAGGGTCTGAAAAGAAGACGTAAAAGTGGCGTCGCATTTTCACTTTTTATGCTGCACTTGGACGAGCGTTTTTGGGAGGAAATCTGCGTACATACAGTGACGCAAAAGTGTGAGGAATTCGACTGGGTATGCAAAGTAACGAGGGCGTCTTTGGTCATACGGACGTTTTCACGCCGCGCATTTTCATCAGCTCCTCTTTCCACAAAGTCGTCCCACCTTTGACTGGTTCTCCAGGTCTCGTCCAGATCCGTCTGACTCACCTGCGACGACCTGGTGCATCCAGAGTTTGACAGAGGTGATTTCATATCCTTCTCTGTTCACTTAAAGCAGAGGTGGGACCAAGTCGATGTTGTGCAAGTCTCAAGCAATGTGCAATCCAAACTGCACAAAGGCTTAGAGAAGGTGTGATTATTAATAGAATCCAAGAATCCAAAGAGTGATTTAAAGGTCCTGTTGATGTATCACTCGAGGTCACACTTGGTCTCTTATCTATTTTTGTTTGTGTGGTGCTTTTGTTGTTGTGTTGTTCTGTTTAAGATAAAACATGTGATCCTCTGTCCCAAGACAAATTTCTCCCATGGGAGACAATAAAGGATTATCTAATCTTATCTTAAGTAAGTCTCAAGTCTTTGACCTCAAGTCCGAGTCAAGTCCCAAGTCAAATACAGGAAAGTCAAAGTCGAGTCTTGAGTCACTGTCCCATAAGTCCAAGTCAAGTCCAAGTCGTCTGCTTTGAGCTTCAAGTCATTTCAAGGCTTTAAATCAAAGTACCAAATATAGCAAAAATCTTTGCAATTTAGATGAATTTTTAAGAAAAATTGTACTTAAAATGTCATGGTATATTTATATAAGAGTTGTAGAAATGCAAATTTTTCCTTTTTAAATGTCTTCAAGATCTGAGTGTGAATCATTACTGTTTTGGGGTTTTTTTGTCATAAAGGATCATGCTCTATGTAGCTCCCTCTGTTTTACTCAAAATTACTGTATTGTACTTTATATTACTGTATTGTACTGTATTGTACTGTGTATTACTGTAGTACATTTGAGGATACCACATCACAGTACTTCAGTTACATCCAAAGTAACAAATAGAAGTGAGAGCGACATGTTCCAGTTTGTTCTTGTAAAATGAAGCACTGTATGTGTCTACTGTAAAGAGAAAAGTATTTTCTTTTATACTTTTACTTATTTATAAAATGTTTTATCCATTTATTTTCTATGATATTTTTAGGAGAAGCATTAAGTCATCTCAAGTCATAGAGCTCAAGTCCGAGTCAAGTCCCAAGTCACTCACCTTCAAGTCCAAGTCAAGTCCCAAGTCTTGGTCTAGTATTTTATCAAGTCAAGTCTCAAGTCCTAAAAATAGTGACTCAAGTTTGAACAGAGTCCAAGTCACAGTGTGTAAGTCCCCACCTCTGACCAATAGCGTCTCTGCAGATTCTGTACATTTGCTGGGCGCCTCTTGTAAGTTTATTAGAGCTGCCAGAGCAGCTTGAAGGTCCAACATGTTTGTTTCTGTGTCCTTATGTATGTGACGTAAACACTTACACAACCTGAACACATCTGCCAATTACTTGGACACCACTGAGCGTTCTGGTGCATTACATACGTCACGACTAAATAGCAGCAATTGCTTAAATAAAAAAAGTACCCACCTACGGTTGAGCGAACGAATCCTAATGTTGCGAGGTCACACGGTTTCCACAAAGTGAAACCGGGTGATGAATCAGGCTAATAAATGGTGCCTTTGTCGATACTTCCATCAGGTGTCAAACACAATGGATTCCCGGCACTCCAAACAAATAGAAAAAGTAAAAAAATCGCACGAGGAAAATATATTAAGCCATTAAGCCCTGATGAAGACCAGTTAAGGTCGAAACATGTCAGCTTTGGCCATTCAAATAAAGGCCTTTTAACTATATTTTTCCTCATGCGATTTTTTTACTTTTTCTACTTGTTTGGAGTGCCGTTGTGTTTGAGTTTTGATCCTTTTTCCAAGAGCGCCCTCTACCTGCTCCTACTGATTGGAACACCTGCAGCAAACAGCCACATTTTTGTTCTTTCTGGACTTCCATCAGGTCGTTTTAGTTTGTTTTTTTAATCAAAATTTACCGTGAACAGACCCAGAGACTTTCATGCTCCACTGCTGTAGTTGGAATTGTGTACGTCAGTATAATTGGCGTCCACTGATAAACATTCCGTGTTGTCTGGCAAACTGCGATAAAATGCATTCATATTTTTTTTAAAGCATTATTTTCTCTGTAAAGAATTAATCGTAATTAATGCATTAATATCGCTTTCCTAATTTATGCAACTGCTGCTGTGAACCTCGTCATTTTGGTCTTAAAATGTTCTATTAACCCACTCTACATGATCCTGGTGCTTTTTTTTCACTATTTTGTTCATTTAAAAAAAAATCCTATTCAAAATATACAGCCTGGCTCCAAATTCGCTCGTATATCCGTGAGCGAGCTTCATTTGTGGTGACGTCTCCCTCAATTACTCCACTTATTTACACAGTCCATGAACATCCCACGTGAAAAGAAAACTAGATCAGGCATGTTTTTGATGAGGGAACACTATAACATGGTAGAAAGTTTGATTTTGCCTAATTCCCCGTTTTAAAACAAAAAAAACAAACAGATTTTCCGTGTTTGTCTTTGAGGACGGCGGGTTTGACTCTGGGCTGTACATAAACACTTTGATAAGGACAAATATTAGCTGCATAATTAGCTGACATTGAGGAGTGAGTAAACGTAAATATTTGTAAAATCTGATTTGAAAAGTGTTCTCGCTAAATAAATGAGCTCATGTGTGTGGCGTCTCATTTATCAGAGTTTTGTTTAGTCCAAACGCTCTTATCTAAATTCTGTGCATGGACGTGTTTGGTTTAGGTTGCATCACCAGTGTATCTGTCTAATAATATCAGATGGACGTCTTGATACCACGCCATTCTTTTAAATGGTCATTTGAAGTGAGACAAATATTATCTTCTTTATCTTCATTGTTTAAACATATTTTTCCAACATTTAAAAGGTCCTAGATTATGCAAAATTTGACTTTTGTGATCTTTATGCCGTGTTATAATGTTGTTACCTCCTCAAAAACAGACCTGGAGCAGTCTGGCGCCACCTAGTGCCTCCGTTCAATTTCACATCTCTCCAGCGCCGAGGTCAGGA